AGATGACAAATGTCACAAACAAGAGAAGAGCTAGTACAATTGATTTATTCATTTGATGAAGAACTTGTAGTCTTGGCATAGATTCAACACCAGAGTTTACCGGGGAAGGTTTAACACTAGAGTTTACAAACTTTATATCTTTCTTTTTTACAGCTTCAAGATAATACAACCCCTGCTTTTCTCTAGCTATACCAATCCTCTTCTGGCTATGGATATCATGGATTACACAACAACTATTCTGAAAGGTTATGGAATAACAAGAGTGTTTCAATAGGCAACTAATGGGTATTAGATTGAGTGCAAAATTAGGAGCATATAAGGCATTGTGAAGAACAAGTGCTGGTGTTATATGAACATCTCCTACATGAATAACTGGGACTGTCTGTGAATTTGGCAATTTTATGAACAGATTATCTATCGGTTTACACAAAGTAAACATTTCAATGGAACTAACTATATGGTCTGTAGCTCCTGAATCTATAATCCACTCATCTTCTGCAATATAAAAAGGTAAAGAGACACTAATACCTGGTAATTTTGTGGCTTGAAAGTTAGAAGGGAGTGTATTAATTTGAGGCGAGGTATCTCAATTGTCTACAGATGCTGGAGGCTAAATTAGAGCCAAATTTTTTTTATACTGATCTCTGGTGAAAGAAACAGGCAATTCCTCTGACACACTGCATTGAGAATTAACCTTAACATGAGTACCAGTTATATTATAATCCCTCTTTGTCAGCGTCGATGAAGTAAGCATGAGTGATGGATTTTTGTTCAGACGAAGGGTAGAACGTATTTGCATGAGCCTCATCCATCTTTGAAGGTCTGAAACTGTCGAAGCATCCATGACTGCTGATAGAATCGTCGAGATTCTGGATAAAGATCAAACTGAGTGGCTACTGCAGTTTTACTGGTCTGTCTGAACTCAACAAAATGTTAAAGATCTGCGTTTGAGAAACAAAATCCAAATAGCCTTCAACTGTAGCTCCGATACCATATTAGATTTTGTAATAAGCTGATGAAATCTGATTCAAAAAGAAGAAAAATCTAGAGTGAAAACTTGCTAGGAAGTCGATACAGAGAGATGAGAGAAAAATCTAGACTAAGAAATTGGGGAAGAAAATCATCTATTATTAACTGCAGTCAGATGGTATTTATACATGCACTAAAACCCGTGTTTAACTTTCACTTAATTACAAACAAGACCCTGCACTTACATTTGCAACGCTATATATACAAGTAATCTCAATTAACTCTAATATTCGTTCTTGTCGTCTGCCTTAGTTTTAACTCTGAACCGACTCTCTTCCTCTCTTTGCTGGTTCTCGTTTATATCCTTCACAGGGAAATTAGCTCAACTGTGTGCTAGCTTCCTCTCTTTCTTGTAATTTGGAAAAGTAAAAGTTCTTAATTTGAAATTTTTTAGCAAACAGAAAAAGAAATGGATTAATTTATTTTCTGGGTCGTTAAATTCAGAAAATATGGATATGAAAATTGCACACTTGGTTTTCTCTTCGTGTGCTTAGGACTTATATCCGGTTTGGTGTTAAAATCTAATAACTGAGTGGAGGAGATAACGAAGTGGTGGGTTTTGGAGGTTTTTTAAGGAGTAGTAATCGTGTCTGTAAATAACCCAATTGAATCGATTTTCAATTCAATTCAATTCAAGAAAGATGACTAAAGATTTTGAAAGGGATTGGCTTCGAAGAAGAAGAAGAAGAAGAAGAAGAAGACGAAGAAGAACAAAGATGAAGATGAAGAGACAGAGAGAGCGATAAAAGAAATGAACAGTAGGATATACTATTATTCCTAAAGACGGTCGGAGTATGATCTGTTTTTTTAATCAAATTTTAATTAGTGTTAGTATTTTATACAAAATTGGAAATTAAGGAATAATTTGTAATAAAAAAATATTTAAAAGTTAAAATGTAAAATTTAATATAATCTAACCTCTAAATTAAATATTTTGTTCTTATTTTAATTCTACAAACAAACGCATACATGCACACTACACTAATGTTATGAGCACGGATTAAGTACAGATCTACCAAATTTTATATGAAAGAATCAAAGATTCGAGCACTAGATCATTGGCTATAATATCATCTTAAATATTAGACTAAATTGATTACCCCTTAAAATTTAAGTTGAAATAAAAAAGTTAAACTAATTATTTATATTTTAACACAAGCAATATCATGTAAATCATTTTGAATCCTCTTATGTTCACTTAGATTGTGTAAATAAACATCTTCTTTATTAAAAAAATGATATGACTTTGCAACAAAAAAAAAAAAAAAAAAAGATGATTGTATATATTCAATGAAGATAATAATATGCTCATGATAACAGTATATAGTTAACTAGAATATTTCTTATTATTATTATAACCTAGTTCTATTTTATAAATTGACACATGAACGAAAATAACTAAAACTTTCTTTAGGAAGAATCTTATGCTATATAGTTAAAGAAGTTAAAGGTAGAAGTGAGCACAATACTTGAACTTTTGGGAGGATTTGTTCTGTAGTTTTGAATTAATTGATATCCTCGAGAGGCTTGGATGATCTTATCACGTTACGAATGATATAGATAAGACCTTGAAATACCTAAGTGAGAAAAGAAATGCACATGTTAGTAATCCAAGAATAAATGAACTTACCCTGCTGGATTCACTTCTCCACATATAGACGCACTTGTATCATGCATATACAGTGCATACTATAGATATTGCTAGTCATCTAAGCATCTTTTGAGTTATGTGATAGATTTTATGTAAAACCAAATTCTTGAATCACAAGACTCTAGAAAAGACATGGTAGATGCTGGAAACCT